TCTCCAGCCAGGCACAGTGGCTCACGCCTATAATCCCTGCATTTTAAGAGGCCAAGAGGGGTGGATCACGTGAGGTCAGGAGTTCGAGACCAGCCTGGCCAACATGATGAAACCCCTTCTTTACTAAAAATACAAAAAAATAGCTGGATGTGGCGGCACCCAACTATAATCCCAGCTATTGAGGAGGCTGAGAAAGGAGAATTGCTTGAACCCAGGAGGAGGAGGTTGCAGTGAGCTGAGATCATGCCATTGCACTCCAGCCTGGGCAACAAGAGTGAAACTCCATCTCAAAAATAAATAAAGAAATAAAAATAAAAAATAAAAGTAATAAAAAATAAATAAAAGTAAAATAAATAGCTTAAGTAAACAATAATGTATCCACTTTGCCTTACCTCACAACTATACCAAAATGAAAATTATAAAAGCCACTCTGCAAAGAAGAACTAAAATGCCAGGCTGAAAAGAAAAAAGCAGCATTCGCAATGAATCTAGGAAATGACGAGCAATATGTACATTTACTATGCAAACATATGGATAAATATTAACTATGAATAAAACAACACATTAATGAAGATGAATGACTACTTTTTGTTTCCAGTATATTGTCATAATAACACTATTTGCATTATTTTAAAATGTCTGAAACATAGGCTATAACCATAGAGTACTAAATATAGATTTTTTTTTTTTTTTTTTGAGACAGAGTCTTGCACTGTTTTACTGGCTGGAGTGCACTGGTGCCATCTTGGCTCACTGCAACCTCTGCCTCCCAGGTTCAAGCGATTCTTCCATCTCAGTCCCTAGTAGCTGGGATTACAGGCACCCACCAATGCGCCCAGCTAATTTTTGTATTTTTAGTAGAGATGGGGTTTCACCATACTGGCCAGGCTGGTAAACTTAGATCTTAACTGTGCATTCTGAATCATTTTGGTTGATTATGCCCATGATTACCTGTTAGAGATAATGTGTAATTTCATAAATGAGTGATTGCACATTAGTCATTCTTATCAGTTTCAACACTTTTTCTTTCTTTCTTTTTGAGACGGAGTTTTGCTCTGCTCTGTTGCCCAGGCTGGAGTGCGGTGGTGCGATCTCGGCTCACTGCAACCTCCACCTCCCAGGTTCAAGTGATTCTCCTGCCTCAGCTTCCCGAGTAGCCGGGACTACAGGCATGTGCCACCACGTCAGGCTAATTTTTGGTATTTTTAGTAGAGACCAGGTTTCACTGTGTTAGCCAGAATGGTCTCAATCTCCTGACCCCATGATGCACCTGCCTCAGCTTCCCAAAGTGCTGGGATTACAGGCATGAACCACCACACCTGGCTCAACTCAACGCTTTCACATACTCTAAACAGTCACAGAGTTACCATAACCTTAACATAAATTATTATCCTTATAATGTATCTATAAATAGAAATCTATTAAATGGCTTTTCTAATGTGTCCGGGATTCAGACATTGCTGTAATACATGTAACAAAAATCCTTACCACAGGCCTTCGTTCCGATCTGTGATGAGTAATACAATGATCCAGCAAGCTGTCTTCATCCAGTTCCCTCTGACAAAAGGGACATACACACCTGGAAATAACAGAATACAAATATTACTAAAATGGTTGGCAACCAGAGAGTAGTCACTTTTTTTTCTTATTTTTTTTTTCTTGAGACATTGTCTTGCTCTGTGGCACAGGCTGGAGTGTAGTGGTGCAATTTTGGCTCACTGCAACCTCAACCTCCCAGGTTCAAGGAATCTTCCTGCCTCAGCCTCCCAAGTAGCTAGGATTACACGCCCCCACCACCATACCAGGCTCATCTTTGTATTTTTAGTAGAGACAGGATTTCGCCATGTTGGCCAGGCTAGTCTGGAATTCCTGGCCTTGAGAGATTCACCCACTTAGCCTCCTAAAGTGCTGGGATTACAGGTATGAGCCACCACACCCAGTCCATAGTATTCACTTAACTAAAGATTAAAAAGCAGAATGTAGGTGGGGATATAGTCTCTAGACCTATTTGTTTATCGGATTTGACAGTGTTTTTCCCAATCTGATAACACTGTTGGTGCCTACATTTTTTTCTCATGAGAAATGTAAATGTGTGTCCTCACAGGGACAGGGCAGAAAAACATGACAGTACACGTGAAACAAATTATTCTCTTTGGGAGAGACGTGCAATCTGAGCATGCATTAACTGAGAAACTGAGGATTGCAGCACACAATTGTCTTTAGATTACCTTTTTCTTCCTCCCTTTCCAAATTCACATAACATTTAGATGGGGTGTTATTTGTTTTCTAACTTCACTAGCATATAACTACATGCGTCAACCTATACTGTTAGTTTCTAGTGAAGAATGAAAAGTGACCTGCAGCCTGGGCAAGATGGTTGAAGGCCATAATCTCGGCATTTTGGGAGGACAAGGTGGGCAGATCACTTGAGCTCAGAAGTTTGAGACCAGCCTGGGCAACATGGTGAAACCTCTATTAAAAGTACAAAAAATTAGCGTGGTGGCACACGCCTGTGGTCTGAGCTACTCGGGAGGCTGAGACAAGAGCATCACTTGAGCTCAGGAAGTGGAGGTCACAGTGAGCTGAGATTGCACCATTGCACTCCAGTCTGGGTGACAGAGCAAGACACCCTCTCAGGATAAAAAAAAGAAAAGAAAAGAAAAAGAAAAGTGACCTGCAGCTACTTTGTTAAATCCTTATGTACACTTAGGAATATTTGTCCCTTATCTGTGCTGTCCAAGATGTGTCCACTGGGCACTTGAAATATGGCTAGTCCAAATTCAGATATACAGCCAGGTGTAGTGGCTCATGCCTGTAATCCAGCACTTTGGGAAGCTGAGGTAGGTGGATCACCTGAGGTCAGGAGTTCAAGACCAGCCTGGCCAACATGGTGAAATCCCTTCTCTACTAAAAATACAACAAAATTAGCTGGGCATAGTGGCAGGTGCCTGTAATCCCAGCTACTCAGGAGGCTGAGGAAGAAGAATCACTTGAACCCGGAAGATGGAGGTTGTGGTGAGCCGGGATCGTACCATTGCACTCCAGCCTGGGCAACAAGAGTGAAATTCTGTCTCAAAAAACAAAAAACAAAATTTGGATACACTGGATGTATAATATACACATTGAACTTTGAGGATTTAGTGTAAAGAGAAAAAAATGTAAAATATCATGATAATTTTTATACCAATTACATGTTCAAATGACAATATTCTGGCAATATTAGGTTAGATAAAATATACTGAAAGGTAACTTAAATTTTATCTTGTTATTTTTTTAAATGCTGCTACTAGAAAATTTATAATTACATGTGATTAACATTAGATTTCTATTGGGCAATACTGTCTTAAGTTCTTAGGGACAATATGGAGTCCTGGAGTTGTTTGCTCACTTTCTGTTACAGATGTAGCTTCCTGTCCCCCAAAACTTGTTCTCTGGACAAGCTCCATGTGTAAGAATTTTTAAAATTTGAATTACGTGTTAAATTCTTCTGTAAAGCAAATATTTTTATCATAAATGCAAATATTAGTTTATCTCATAAAATTGATTAATCAATAACCCTCCCCATTTTTTATTATTTTTATTATTTACTATTTAATTCTAATCAGTAGAAGAAACTAGGATTCAAATTAGCTTTCACATATTTTAAAATTTTCATAAGAGCTGTCAACCTTGCAATCAAACCCATAAACTTTCTCAACCTATTTGTAATCCTTCCTTCCTGTTGGTCATTGTGGTCAATATAACAGGATTCATACACTGTTTATAGCTAAAATACTCATTTAAAATTTATAATGTCAGGGTATAAAGCTAATCTTAGAATAACAGGCACTTTTGCAAGGCAATCTCTAGTAAAACAAAAGGAATGGGGTGATTGTTTAGACTTTTAGGTTTAGAAATGTAAGCTATATTTTGAGTATATTTTCTAGAAATGAGCAGAGCTAACATTTTTCTTTGAGAGACAGAGATTATACCCAAACTGAATACCAGTATTGGATGCATGAATCCGTAGGTAGATTAACGGCTAGAAAGACATCAACCTATGCTAGAGAGCACAAATCACTTTATTTGGTTAGTAGGGGCAGATTACAAACTTTAGAATTACTCTGATGCAGCTAAATTACCTTTCTCATCAAGAGAGTAATGACCTAGATTGATTTCCTTCCTTCCTTCCTTCCTTCCTTCCTTCCTTCCTTCCTTCCTTCCTTCCTTCCTTCCTTCCTTCCTTTCCTTCTTTCTTTCTTTTTTGAGACAGAGTCTTGCTCTGCCACCCAGGCTGGAGTGCAGTGGCCAGATCTCAGCTCACTGTAGACTCTGCCTCCCTGGATCAAGGAAGTCATGTGCCTCAGCCTCTGGAATAGCTGGGATTACAGGTGTGCTTCACCACGCCCAGCTATGTTTTGTATTTTTAGTAGAGATGGGGCTTTGCCATGTTGCCCTGGCTGGTCTTGACCTCCTGACCTCAGGTGATCTGCCTGCCTCAGCCTCCCAAAGTGCTGGAATTGCAGATGTGAGCCACTGTGCCCTGCCAGTGTTTCTTTTTCTTTTTCTTTTTTTTTTTAAGAATAAAATAGTTAATGATCAATATCCTCCATTAAGTCTTCCAGCTACCTCCATCTGCCCCATACCCCCATACAAGATTACCCATCAAAAAGGCAAAGGATTCAGGATGTCTGCCCAGCCTGTTTTCCTCTTTTATACTGAGATGCTGCTGTCTATCTTCTAAAGAGAAACAAGCAAAATGATAAGGAATGAGCTGGTAAAATGAGCAGTGGTGACAGAAGATGGATCATCCCAAACACGACCTACTTCAGGAATCTATCAGAAAACAAAGACTAGCAGAAATGTAACAGTTCTGCATTCTATTTCTGGATCTGTGTTAACACAAACTTGTTTGAGGAAGTTGCCCCAGTCTCTCCAACATGTGGTTGGTTTCCCTCAAGAAATTTTTATAGAGTGCAAAATTCTTTGATAATGATTGCTGTCAAAAAATGATGACCAGTACCAGATATTAAAGAACCTAAACAAATATGTAAATATTTTCATAATAAGAATGTTAAAGCTTCCAGCTCATTAAATTATTTATAAATATATCAATTTTGGCATTAATCTATATTGCATTCAAACAAACCTTGCTGCTGTCTCCCCAAGATCTTGTAGTGGTCCATACATATCTATGTACTTCTGACAAGTCCGAATATGTGCCCTCATTTCACTGAGGCAAACCTATATAAAAACAAATTCAAAATAAACTCACTGTTTAAAAAGGGGGCTCAATGAAAGCTTATGCAATCCACCCTTTTAACTTTCAAATAAGGTCGTATTGTGGGATCAATTGACTAAATGGATGCATTCATGACACCAGTTTCACCAAAAGTTAATGCATTATCCAGAATACTATTATTTTCAATTTCTCCAACACTTAGAAGACCCAACTGTTAAGTTCTTGAATTTGGTTTTTCTTAAAAGCATATACAATTTTTAAAGTAGATAGATGTGTAGTAACTCAGATTTACTTCTTTTGCATGCCATTACATAAACAGGTTTTAGAAAGAAGGAAGTGACGGGAAAAAAAAGGGTGAAGAAAAAGAGCACAAGAGGGAGGAAAGAAGAAACAATTTAAGCGATAAGAAGAATAAATGGATAAATTTTAGAGGTGGCCATAGTAAGTTAAATGAAACACTGTGCCTTAGGGAAAGACATAAATAGCATGGTTTTATAGCACACCCAATAATATGACATGAATTCACAATACACAGTATACTTAGTGGTACCATTAAGAGCAAACATAAAAGATAGTTCTTGCAGTTCATTTTTATCAATGCAGAATAAAGAGCCCTTGTTCTTTCAGATATACATTCAGAGATCCTAACCATGAGGGATCTGTTGCTAACATAACACATTCGACTAAATGTTTCATTAGAAACTCTGATAAGATCTTGTGCTAAAGGAAGCTTTGTACAGCTGTGGTAAGGTGGCCGACCCACTCTGCTTCATTTTGCCCAAGCTACGGAAGTTAAACCTCAAACATGAAATCTGCCATGTTGAGGAAACAGTTATAATTGTTTAACAAAAGGCAAAAATAAAACCAAGCAGAAAAGTAAGAACAAAACCCTTGCTTTACAAATATCCACCTAAAAGATATAAAAACTAGGATTGAGCTGCATAAACTGTCTTAAACAGATGTATTTGACAATCTTTTACATCCAACTTTGCATATTAGTGTTCTCTCATGTCTTTATGACTTTTGCTAGTAAAAATTTCTATTTGTATTCTTTGTTCAACAAAGATAAGCATTAGTCATAAAAATTAATAAGCTGTGGACTATCTACCAACAAATGAATTGATCAATTCATAGTCTAGACACAAAATTAACTGAGACATTATAAGAAATGGCAGAAGAAACATAATTCATTGTGCCTGTTCTGATGCTGCTTTTAATCCAACAGAGGAAAAAGGATGTGTAGACAAGTAGATAAGAAATTGTTTGATATAGGGGCTGGGTGCAGTGGCTCACACCTGTAATCCCAGTACTTTGGCAGGCTAAAGTGTGTGGATCACCTGAGGTTAGGAGTTCAAGACCAACCTGACCAATATGGTGAAACCCCCTCTCTACTAAAAATACAAAAATTAGTGGGGTGGTGCACACCTGTAGTCCCAGCTACTTGGGAGGCTGAGACAGGAGAATTGCTTGAACCCGGGAGGTGGAGGTTTCAGTGAGCTGAGATCACACCACTGCACTCCAGCCTGGGCAACAGAGCGAGACTGTCTAAAAAAAAAAAAAAAGTGTTTGATGTAGTGAACTGGAATACTAAGACAAGGCCTCAAGGAAAGGATCTGGCCTGGACTCTGAAGAATAGGGAGAGTGCAAAATGAGTATAGAAGGAATGGGGAGCATTCCTAGAAAGAGGGGTAATACAGAAAGGAAAGGACAGGATATAAGAAGTATCTCAAGGCTAGGCTCAGTGGCTCATGCTTGTAATCCTAGCACTTTGGGAAGCCGAAGTAGACAGATCATCTGAGGTCAGGAGTCCAAGACCAGCCTGGCCAACATGGTGAAATCCCGTTGGTAAAGTACAAAAATTAGCTGGGCAAAGTGCTGCACGCCTGTAGTCTCCACTACTCTGGAGGCTGAGGCACGAGATCACTTGAACCCAGGAGGCGGAGGTTGCAGTGAGCCAACATTATACTCCACTGCACTCCATCCTGGCAACACAGCGAGATTCTGTCTCAAAAAAAAAAAGTATCTCAAAGAAAAAAATCAAAATCTTTGTGATTTAACAGATAATGGAGAAGGGGAAGGTGGTGAAAAAAAGAGGATTTCCACACAGGGTGATTGAGAGAATCCTCTTGTTTCTGACAGACACAAAGAGGGGATCAAGAACTGGATGATGAAAGAACATGATGAGTTGCAGTTTGAGCAAAACGGAGTTATGCTCTTGTTACCTGGGCTGCGGTGCAATGTAGCAATCTGGGCTCACTGCAACCTCTGCCTCCCAAGTTCAATCGATTCTCCTGCCTCAGCCTCCCAAGTAGCTGGGATTACAGATGCCCGCCACCACGCCCATCAAATTTATTTTATTTTTTTGTATTTTTTAGTAAAGATGGGGTTTCACCATGTTGGTCAGGCTGGTCTCGAACTCCTTACCTCAGGTGATCCACTCGTCTCAGCCTCCCAAGGTGCTGGGATTACAGGTGTGAGCCGCTGCACCTGGCCTTGTGTATGAATCTTATGTGAAGACAAACTAAGTAAAAATAAGAAATAATCTACTATTAAGAATGTAAAAAGCCATTGATTTTTAGCATTTACTATATTCCAGACACTGCGCTAAAAGCCAAGCATCAGGCTTGGCATGGTGGCTCACACCTGTAATCCCAGCACTTTGGGAGGCCGAGGCAGGTGGATCACAAGGTCAGGAGATCAAGACCAGCCTGGTCAACATGGTGAAACCCCGTCTCTACTAAAAATCCAAACATTAGCTGGGCATGGTGGCGTGTGCCTGTAATCCCAGCTACTCAGGAGGTTGAGGCAGGAGAATTGCCTGAACCCAGGAGGCGGAGGTTGCGGTGAGCCGAGATCGCACCATTGCACTCCAGCCTGGGTAACAAGAGTGAAACTCCGTCTCAAAAAAAAAAAAGAAACTCTGTCTCTATAAAAAATAAAAAAAAATTTAAAAAGCCAATCATCAGTCATATATATCAATATATATTTAGCATTTACCTTTAAAATCACTCTCTAACGTGAACATGAGCATGATCCTCTCCTCAGTTCCTCTTTTTTGTTGAGAGAGCCTTGCTATGTTGCCTAGGCTGGAGTATAGTGGCGTAGTCACTGCAGCCTTGATCTCCTGGGCTCAAGCAATCTTCCTGTCTCAGCCTCTGGAGTGGTTGGGACTATATGCATGCACCACTATGCCCCAGCTAATTTTTTTGATTTTTAGTAGAGACACAGTCTCTTCCCAGGCTGATCTTGAACTCCTGAGCTCAAGCAATCCTCCTGCCTTGACCTCCCAAAGTGCTGGGATTACAGGCATAAGCCACTGTGCCAGCCTCTTTCTCTTCATTTTGCAAAAAGGTAAACAAATACTCAGATTAATAACTTACCCAAAATTACAAAGAGTAAGTGACAGAATTAGAATCAGTTTGATCTAAGAGGTCTAATTCCAAACACCATGAACAAATTCTGCAATCAGATATAAGGCTCTATAATCGAACCTAATAAATAGATATCTAATGAATAGGTTATTGAGTCTTATATAAATATTCAGAAATGCAATGAGCACTTAGTATGTACCAGTCACTTTTCAAAGTGCTGGCTACACAGATGTCAACAAATAGAGCCTTTACCTTCATGGCACTCAAATGGAATGAACGTAACTGACATTAAACAAAAAACAGCCCAAAAGCAGAATTACAAATGGTGATAAGAGGTGTATGGGAAAAGCACAGGGTGCTGAGAAACAGTATGACAGGGCTATAGTTTAGATGAATTATTAAGAAAGGTTCTCTAAAGAAATGTAGACACTTAGTACACAATCCCTCTTTTTTTTTTTGAGACAAAGTCTCACTCTGCCGCCTTGGCTGGAGTGTAGTAGCATGATCTTGGCTCACTGCAACCTCCACCTCCTGGGTTCAAAATATTCTCCTACCTCAGCCTCATGAGTAGTTGGGATTACAGGCATGCGACACAACATCTGGACGATTGCGTATTTTTAGTAGAGACGAAGCTTCCCCATGTTGGCCAGGCTGGTCTCAAACTCCCGACCTCGTGCTCTGCCCACTTCGGCCTCCCAAAGAGCTGGGATTACAGGCATGAGCCACGTGCCTGGCCAAAATCCCTCTTTTGATTTTTAGACTGGTATATCTAAATACTTTCCTAGTATCTTTCCTTGGTAGTTCAAAGTTAACATATCTAAAACTTAACTCTGTATCCTTCTCCAAATTTGCTCCCCATATGAACATCCTCATTTATTCACATCTGAATGCCTGGGAAGCATTTTTGACACTTTCCTCTCACTCAGCCCCACATCCAGTCAATTATCAATTTATTTCTATTCTATCTCCTAAATATACTTGAAACAACCTCTTATTGATAGTGGCAGGAGCCTGACAAATCCCTAGGTAGACAGGGGCGAGTCCTTGGTGAAACCTGACCTTCAGGCCAAAGACAGTTTAAAGCCTGAAAGCCAAGCTACAAGTTAAATCTATGGATGGAGTTGAGGACCTCTCTTCCCCTTTGGTGTGCTTTCCTCTGATTGATCCTCACCTTTCACCTCTTTTACATATACCTACCCTTCCCTAACTGTTTTTAATATAGTGTCATGCCCATCTTTGAATGCTGCCTTTGTTTTAGCCTCTTTTGCATACTCAGAAACCAATCAGCATGCACTCCCCCATTTTGAACCCATAAAACCCCTGGAACCAGCCATACTGGGAGAAAGAGACCACCAACTTTGGTGGGGAACCTCATGTCGCTTCTCTGCTGAGAGCTGTTAAATTGCTTAATAAAACTCTTCTCCAACCTTCTCACCCTTCAACTGTCAGCATAACCTCATTTTTCTTGGATGTGGGACAAGAACTTGGGAACCACCAAACACAGATGGGCCGTGGCATGCCTGGACCAGATGTCAGCTGAGCCAGTGCATAAACCAGACATGGTCTAGTGGGCAGAGTGGGTGGGGAGAGTCTCCCAGGCCAAGCAAGACTTGGGTGGGGTCATTGCTGGCTCTGGAGGTCCCCGGCTAGCAAAGTGGGCAAGAATAATCCTGCATCATTATTCCACATCTAATGCTATCATTCTAATCCAGCTTCCTTACATCATAATAGCCACCTAACTGGTTTCACCAATTTCATTTTTGCCCTACTGCAAACCATTTTCTATGCATACATTAGAGTCATATCTTAAAGATATAAGCCTGGGCTGGGCATGGTGGCTCACGCCTGTAATCCCAGTACTTTGGGAGTCCGAGGCAGGCAGATTGCCTGAGGTCAGGAGTTCGAGATCAGCCTGGCCAACATGATGAAACCTCATCTCTACAAAAAATACAAAAATTAGCCAGACATGGTGGTAGGCCCCTGTAATCCCAGCTACTAGAGAGTCTGAGGCATGAGAATTGCTTGATCCCAGGAGAATTGCAGTGAGCCAAGATTGCACCACTGCACTCCAGCCTGGTAGAAATATGTCATCAGATTTGATAATAAAGCTGTTAATTGGTGGCCTGCAATATAGTAGCAGAACTGGAGGACATATGATAGAGAATTACTGGAGTAATAGGAAGAAGAGAAAACAGAGGTGGTCAATGAAGCACTTGTTTGACAAATTGGGGGTGATGGTAGGAGTTCACGGTTTTTTGTAGAATATATGTATATATATATATATATATATATATATATATATATATATATACACACACACATATACATATATGAGGCTGGGCGAGGTGGCTCACGCCTGTAATCCCAGCACTTTGGAAGGCTGAGGCGGGCGGATCAAGAGGTCAAGAGATCAAGACCATTCTGGCCAACATGGTGAAACCCCATCTCTACTA